GCAAGTGAGCAAAACTTGTGATTTACTTCTACATTCTCCATTAACTCTTTTTTTACAAGTTGGTTGGGAAGCACATAAAGGGCAATTATGTGACTGAAGGACACAGCAACAGTATTGTGAGGATTGGTTGCAAAGTTGTTTTTTTACATAATTGCCATTTCAAATGGTCACTAACTAAGACAATCGATAAACAAAGACTACCTGTATATGCTATTGCAGTTGGGTTGAACTGCCTATTCTAAACTCAAACTGGCTGGTTAACACTGTGGGAAGAATCCAGAGAAAGAAATATTTTGGGGAATATTAAAAAGGCAGAATATATTTCTCCAAAGGAATAATGGAGAAGATCTTTAAAAAGGTAGAAACTTCTCCTCTCCCCCCCCCCCCCCAGCCAGAAAACTCAGCAGAAACCAGCTTTTAGAAATGCAGATGTAATAATCCATTCAGGAAGATTGGAGCCAGGAAGCTAGAAGCTGATGAGATTAGGAAGACAAAGACCCCTAAAATCTACATACCCCACCCAAACTTTAAAAGACATGACCTTTGGGAACATAATAGGATTAACCCACCAATTCAAAAGGGCACACTCAGACTCAGGTCAAAGTACATGACACAGGAAATACAAAGACTCAAACAGGAACAGGAAACAACCTCAAAAGCCCCAGAAGATATAACTCCATCACTTCCAACTACATGTGGTCAGTTTTCCCAGAGTCACGCTTCTGTCTGGATTTGCTCTTCAATAAACTCCAACCTTTGGCATACTTTTATATGGTACGAGAAATCTAAAGCACATAAGTACTTTCAAAATCATGCGATAAGAAACGTACTACTTTCAGAATGGGAGAAAATTAAACATAAAATATACATGAAAATACCTGAGTGGCTTTCAACAATAGAAGCATTTGCTTATCCAAATCTGATTAATTACAACAAACTGATTAGTTATAAAGCATTTTAGACAAAGAGGGAAAACTTAAGACAGGCAAACTTTACAACTACAAGGTATTGACTTGACATGGTGGTCCTACTTGCAAATTCAAACAAGATACGAAAAAGATATAAAATTGACAGGTTTCTACAAAGAACAGACCCCACTGGATAAAATTTTGTTAAAAACAGATGAGAATTTGATTAGAAAACTCTATAAATTTCTTTTAAACTGGAAGATGGAAAAAGAACAAGTGAAAGAAACAATGATAGTATGGGCAAAGAACTTTGGATATTCTATAGATTTGGAGGACTGGCAAAAACTTTGGGATAAAAATATTAAGCTTACAAAAGCGGTGGCATATAAAGAAAACTTATATAAGATGTTTTATAGATGGCATATGACACCAATTCGTTTAGCATAAATGTTTAAAAATGTCTTGGATATTTGCTGGAAATGTAAACAACAGCCAGGCACTTATTACCATGCCTGGTGGACATGCCCTATCACTAAGAAATATTGGTCTAAGATCCATAGATGGTTGGAAAAGATGATGAAACTACAAATAGAATTTAAACCAGAATTGTTTTTGTTAGGAATATTAAGACCTAATTATGGCAAAGAGAATGACTACTTGATATTGCATGTTTTAACTGCTGCAAGGATAGTATTTGCCCAATTTTGGAAAAATGAGAATCTACCATCTGACCAGATTATTATTACCAAAATTTTAGAGTGTGCAGAAATGGATAGACTAACACTAGAAATGAAAGAAAAAGATGACTCAATTTATTTTAGAACTTGGGAAATTTTTTTATCAATGGTTAGAGACATGTTAGAATTTGAAGGATTCAATATTTTAGAATAGTTGACTGATTTTTAATCAAGTTCTAACTAACATTTTGATGATACGATTACTTTTCCTGATTTACTGATTTTCATTTGTTACTTTTGATTGTTAGGATTTATTTTTTTGAGATTTTATTAGTAGTGTTTACTTAATAGATCAACGTATTTGTTTACTAATTATTTTTAATATGTTACAGTTTAAGCTTTGTTAAAAATGGTTGAATATGATATTTACTTATTATTATGATCCGGATGGTTGCTTGTTTGTTGAAATATGTGATTGTACCTATCCTTATTTTACCCTAATTCCTTATTTCCTTTCCCTCCCCCTTTCCTTTTACCCCTCCCTTTACTATACCTGTATTGTTCCTATTTTTCCTCACTTATATAAATTTAATAAAATTTTGTTAAAAGAAAAAAAAATAAACTCCAACCTTCTTTCTAAAGCAGTCTCCATTTTGTTTATTCCCAGCTTGTACTGGACCCTGATGAAAATTTTTCTTTCAACAACACTATATGCTAAACCTTAAAATATTCTCTATAAAGCACAATGATTGGATTTGCCAAATTCCTAACTTCAAGCCAAACCAGAATTTAGTGGGATGGGTGAATCTATTTACCAAATATGGTCTTCATTCTTAAGCTTGCTGTTTTCCTCTGAATTTATTAATGTTTTAAAGGCAGTTGCCAAATGGTTAAAGAAAGAGAAACCGGAAACAGCTTTAGCTCAAGCCCAAAGATACTCACCGGAGTTGGATTTTTTGCCTAAGCAGGTCAGGGAGAATGTTTTCAAATCACTTCCATCAGATCTAATAACGGATCTTCTTTCTTTTTTACTTTGATATTAATTTTATTGAGGATACTTACATTGAATATTGTTCTTCTCCAACCAAATTTTTACCATTAGAGAAAAATTCTCCAGCTTTATCAATTCAAAATAATGCTAGTTCCACATTTTTTTTTCATGTTCTCTTGGTTTGCATTGTCTATTTGATTGATGAGCAACAATCTTTATAATGACAAGATGAAGCACGGGACCATTTAGGAAATCAGAACTCTGTTCCAATCTACACATGGACTATTTGCTTATCAACACTTTAAATGTATTCTCTTAGAAAGGAGTTCATATTGTCCTTTTTGTGAAATATATCCTTTAAATGTAATATTTCCTTATCTTCCTATGTATAGCTTCATGATTCCATTGGTATCGTAGCTTTTTTATAAGCATGACAGCTATTCTCTGTGGTGCTACAACAGTGTCTCGTTTTGAGCCAACATCAGCATTAACTAGTACAAGGAGCTTTGAGATGACTGATGTGTATTTGTGTGTGGGTGTTTAAGTATTTAGATACAATAAGCATAGAAGCTCAAGGACAAATTTATTAGCAAGCATTGACTTTCATGAAAGTTTTAAGAAGAAAAAAGAGTTTCAATGTAAAACTCTCTAAAACATTTGCATTGTACATTTGATGTCTAGATAAAGATTTTAAAATCATGGATTAATTACTCAACTAATAAGGATAACTTTATTCTGCCCCCAATATCAATATGGAATACATACTGTGATGTTGGCTATTAACTGACATTTATCTGACATGTGGTTGATTTTCTTAATTGAGTTTCCCAGTTATTGGAACGGCACTTCAGTGGAGAAATAGAAATGTTAATTAATTATGTAAAGTCATTTCATCTACAATTGTCTGTAAAATGTTCCTTTTTAGAAATTCAAAGAAAACAATCTTATTTCAGTGGGGGTATGGAAACCAGAAGTACATTTATGTTCTAGCTGAGATATTTTGTGGCTGCTAATTACTTCTTCTTTTCCCTTTGAGTTATCTATATAACTTTTATATCTCACATTTTAATATTATAACAATTTTGTCAGATACATTAAGTTAAGAGATAGGCTTCCTTTATTTTTTTTTAAATAGACAATTGATGCATATCTTTTTTGGTTTCATTTATGCTTTCATATATTAAACTTTGAAGACTTTAAGCTATTTTAGTAGCATGTTTATTTTAAATTAAACACATAATTATATATAAAGAAATCATCACAAAGCTATCATGAAGAATATTCTGCACTTAGAAGACAATGCATGTGCTCAGTGTAGTTATAGTGCAATCATAAACTTCATAATAAGTAATATGGAACTTAGGCTGTAAACTAATACAAGCAATTTGCACAAACATGAATTAGATTTTGAAATATTAATTAGCTGTAATAACAAGTTTGGGATGCCATATTTTCACAAAGATAATTAAGAGCCTCTGTTCATATAGATTTTTACTGATTTCAAGACAAAAAAAAGACTTAACAATAAACAAACACACACTTCAATTTTTTAAATAGTTAATACTAACTACGAGAAGCCTAGATTATTTAGAAACTTGTTACATCATCTGTTTTGGAGCAAGCCTAACTGATTCTAGTTAAAAAAAAAATAGTTCATTTGTGCTTCACCGTTCCTTTATTCACTAAGATAATACCAAGCGAAACTCTAATGAAATGCATGAGACTTTGTCCTGATTCATCCATCTATATCTGTCTTCATGATATAATGACCAACAATCCGAATGAATGAGTGATTCCAGATTCACAGTAAGTGCTGTAGCAAGCCATTAAATATTGATTTGCATAAATGAAACAGCTGTTTATGGACATTTTCTATATCCAATATCCAGGCTATCACACCATCAGCTGCAAATGAATGAGTAATATATATGATGTACACAAATCACTGCTCATTCTTTGTTTAAAGAAAGTATGGTTTGAGTGATTTGGTTTGTTGATAGACAATTACAATTAAACAACATTCTAATCTTGAAGGTTCACAAATCTTTGATTCAAGGTCCCATCTATATCAAAATCAGGAACTGTGTTAAGAAATAAAGTGAAAATCTCCATGTATGTTAATACTGCATCTCACTTAAGAATGTGGCTCAATTAATATTACCCAGAAGCATTTGGGGCTATATTGTCCATTGGATGTGGTAAAGGACATAGTCTTAAAATATCTCCTTTGCATCAACAGTGCTAAGTATTTCAGAATGGTGTTAAGCTGAGAATTTCCCCCTGGCTTTTCTTTATGTTCTTAAATCTATTTACAAGATTTGTATCAATGATTTTATTCGAATGTGGCCAGCAACATCTTACCTTTGGTTGCCATATATTAATACCACGTGTGATCCACAGGGCAATCAAAAATGTCTTACTTACTTTTTAGATGTTTTCTGTGTGACCCCAACCGATGACAACTATTATAAAAATGGACCTTGCTTCAGTGCAAGAGGTGTGAGAACAGCAGTGAAATGCACACCTCTGTACTTTTTATTTGAAGTCAGAGTGGGGGAGGACAGCATAAATCCTTCATCAAGGGAAGGCTATTTTAGAATAACTAGGAGACCAAACTCATTTCCTGAACATTGCAGCCCCCTGCCTGAGATAACTAAGAAACACAGCCTTCTTGAATAATGCTATCCCTCCTACATTATCTGATACCACAGGGAGAGGAAAGCAAAGCCAGGAAATCAAAAGGACACTTTGAACAATGCTCCTCCTCTTGAGAACATTGTAAAGTAGGGAAGGAGGGAAGGAAGGAAGGAAATATATAAATACATCTATCCTAACCTCCAGCTCTGGTATTCCTTGATAATCTCCCATTCAAGTTTGTGCCAAACTGACATGAGATCAACCAAGATCCACAAGGAGGCTTATATATAAAGATTAATTTTGGCTTCTGCTTATGCATGGTGAATATTTTATAAGCCACATTGAAGGCTTTATAAAGTGCAAGATGAGGCAGAAAAACCTAATCATGGAGGAAATAAATATAATATATTTATAATTTCCGTAGAGTGCTTTGGAAAGTCAAGATGTTTATTTTTAAACTGGCATTTTAATAAACCACGTTGGCAATAGACATATTTGCTGCAGTTTGTTACTGAAGTTAGCTCAACCTTAAAAAATCCATGGAAGTCTTGTATCTATTTATTTTAGAAATGTATAAGACTGCATTGTCTTATAGTATACTAAGTATTTATTGTTCTATCATTGAACATTACCAAATCTTACAACATACTTTCATTTTTTATTTCTCAGGTCACTGACAAATGAAGGTTACTGGTCTCAAGTCAAATCACCCATCCCACTGGCAAGATCTGAATGTAGAAAATCCCAGTAGCCTCTATTTCAAGGGTCCATTTTAACCCTATAAGCCAGTTTATCATTAACTGAATTATCAAACAGTCGGCTCCTTAAGAACTACCTGAGGTAAAATCTAAAGAAGTACCAATTTACACCTCTGCCAACGTTTGCTCTCTTTACTCACCTAATTGTTTTCCAATAACTTATCTGAGATGACTAATGCGTTAATATCGGTGAAATAGCAGAGATTATTAGAATAACCTTGGACCAAAGCTTATCTAGTTAATAAATCAAAGCATTAACTTTATTTACAAAAGTCAACATAGTGCTGAGGTTGGTGAAGAAATTCATGATCATTTCAACATTCAGTCTTATAAAAACAAAATATTTGCCCAATTTTAGAAAAATGAAAATTTACCGTCTGATCAGATTATAATAACGAAAATACTTGAATGTGCAGAAATGGATAGATTAACTTTAGAAATGAAAGAAAAAGAAGACACAATTTATTTTAAAACATGGGAAAAATTTTACCAATGGTTAGCAATATGATAGAATGAGAAAAGATTATGAAACTTAAAGAGATAATTTGTATTTATATTTTATGATTATTTGTATGAACTTGTCTTCTTTTTTTTCTTCTTCTTTTTTTGTATTTGTGATTTTAATAATATAGTAAATTATAAGCAAAAAGTAATATATTACTATTTAAAAGTTATTACAACTAATTAATATTAAGCATTGTTAGTAAAATGAATGAGATATATTGACTAACTTGTTATTGAAAGCTGTTTAATACTAGAGTAATCATTAAGATTTGAAATGATGTTATTTTGTGGGATTAATCCCACTTTTGTGTTTACCTCTTTCCTTTGGTTTAACCCTTTTGTATGTCTCCCTTTGTTTTACCTTTGTTGACCTTATTCTCTTGTTACCCTTATAAAACTCAATAGAATATTTGTTAAAAAAAAAAAAGAAACCAAATTTTTGGGAGTGTTAGTTCAGGCTTCCCAAAAATTTCAAACTTTGTCTCTGGATAGTGAGATTTTTAATTAAACTTCTTTTCTTGACCATGAGAATTGATAGACATTATGATAGAAACTAAGCAGGAAGTACTGAAGCATGCTTATCACTGCTCATACAGCTGCATTCTAGACCAATTGAAGCTTCTGGGCAATCTTGTAGGACAGCCCCATGTAGAATCCATTGCAGTAGTCAAGCCATGAGGTGAGTAGGTGTGAGTAATTGTCTGAAGTCCCACCTCCACCTTAATGTGATTCATGTTAGAAAACAGTTTTCTGTTGGTATTTAACTAAGTTGAAGAGGAACTGTAGATTCCAAACCTACATAGGAACAGGACAGCAGAGAATTATTAATTTACTGAATTTATAAACTACCCATAGTAGGAGAAACAGTATTTTATACATTAAACTCAAGATGATGGTTGAGATGATGGTTGCAAGATGGAGTCCTAGCTATTTTTTCTTTACATCAACATCACATATAAGTAGAAAGGGGTGAGGCTCTAATTGCTCTTTTGTAATTTCCATCTTGACTTTTTTAATCCACCCCCACTTCCCGCCACTAGATCAAATCTTTTGCAAATATATTCTATGGTACTGATTGTGCAGTTTTAACATATTCAGAAGTTTGTGAAATAAATGATTAAATAAGAACTCTCTTATATTAGATACAAATTGTGCACATACTAAACTACTCATAGTGAGAAACTGACCAGCCTTGTATACAGTTCTTAGTTATTCCAAGCTACCTTTTAAAATGCATTACATTTTCTTCAATTCCATCTTTTTATGTAGCTATGTAATAGCTCAGAGCCTGACCATCTGAAAGACTGCTGCTCCCATTACAAATCTGTCTTGACTGTTAAAATCTGTCCTATTTAAAATGTTCTGGCTGTCAGCGGCCTGTTCATCTGGCTTATAGAAAAGGCTTAGTCCCAGCGTGTGCGATGCATTCTGTTGTAGGTCCCTTTTGACAGCTTTTGATTGATTGCAAATTAACATTTGCACTGATATTAATTTATACTTTTTCATTTTTATCTAATCCTGGATTTTGTTGATTGCTTGCTACATTCAGTGTCCAGTTTCATGAGAAATATGAGGAAAGAAAGAAAGAAAGAAAGAAAGAAAGAAAGAAAGAAAGAAAGAAAGAAAGGGAGGGAGGGAGGGAGGGAGGAAGAAAGGAAGGAAGGAAGGAAGGAAGTTGAGTTGCTAGTGAAAAAAATCAGTACATTTATGAAGGACAAATGCCAACCATAACCTCAGCTGCCATTAAATTTTATCTGCCTTGTCTTCCCCAGTCTGGTTGCCTCCAAATGTGCTAGACAACAGGTGTCCATCAAAAGAAATGTTAAAAAATCCAATCATAGACTTCTTGTGTCATTTGCAATTGAGCACTCATTAGAGCATGGGTGTCAAACTCACCACATCATGTGACGTGTCGCGACGTATTGCGACTTTTTTCGCATTGCCAGAGCTGGGGTGGGCATGGCCTCCGCATGATGCAACCGGCCCATGGGCTGGCAGTTTCATATTCCTGCATTAGAGTATAAACAAGGACACGTCAAAGTAGAACTAAAAAGCTGCCTACTTACATTAATGCTGTGTTTTTGAATGTTATTTCCTTATGGCATTCTTGTCATAAATTTTATACTTAACAAGTCAAGGCTTGTTTGAGTTATGGTAGGCAAATCACAATGGACATATTAAACTTGTACCACTGTAATGTTATGGCTTCTTGAGAACTTCATATCTAATAATAGTAATAATAATAATAATAATAATAGCAACAACAACAACAGCAGCAGCAACAACAACAATAATAATAGAGTTGGAAGGGACCTTGCAGTTCTTCTATTCTAATCACCTGCTCAGGCAGGAAACCCTATACAATTTCAGACAAATGGTTGTCCAGTCTCTTCTTAAAAACTTCCAGTGATGGAGCATTCACAACTTTTGGAGGCAGGTTGTTCCACTGATTAATTGTTCTAATTGTCAGGAAATTTCTTCTTAGTTCTAGGTTGCTTCTCTCTTTGATTAGTTTTCACCCATTGCTTCATTTCCTGTCTTCAGGTGCTTTGGAGAATAGCTTGACTCCCTCTTCTTTGTGGCAACCCCTGAGATATTGGAACACTGCTATCATGCCACCCCTCGTCCTTCTCTTCATTAAACTAGACATACTGTACCCAATTCCAGCAACCATTCTTTATATGTTTTAGCTTCCAGTCTCCTAATCATCTTTGTTGCTCTTCTCTGTACTCTTTCTAGAGTCTCAACATCTTTTTTACATTATGGTGACCAAAACTGCAGTATTCCAAATGTGGCCTTACCAAGGTGTTATAAAGTAGTATTAACACTTCACGTGATCTTGATTCTATCCCTCTAACATCTCTTAATCCAAAATATTTACATCAATAATAGCTCCTTGAGTCTCCTTTTTATGTACTGCCTAGAGATCTACTGTCCTTGTTATCTATCCTTTTATTCTCATATAGCATCTGAATAAGGGTCCTTGGCGGAGGGAGGGGAATCACAGAAATGGATGTCATGACATCATAGTTCAAATTCTATGATGTTCATATCAGTATCAGGATGCGAGTATAAAAGGCTGTGGTTTATGTCTAAATGTTGTCATTTTTTGTCATTGTGATTTGTACTGGATATCCATGTCTATGACCCAAAGAGCTAGCAACAGTGATAAAAATGCAATAAAATGACATAACAATTTAAGTAAAGAAAAACAAAATGGAGAGAACCCCATTCCATATGGAAGCTGGATTGAAATTTATAAAAATTGAGCTGTAAATAAAATTGCAATAGTTTTTTTAAATAGTTGCCATGATGTTCACGGGGGAGGTGGAAAGAAAGTTATTTAGAGCTTTTTCTGGGGGCTAAATCAGCTATCCACTAATGGCTAATCAGCAGAAAACTCTAGGGACATGACATTTAATGTCACCATTCCAATCTTTAGTTTGCTTCTGTTTTAGCACTAGCACTTAGACTTATATACCACCCCATGGTGCTTCACAGCCTTCTTTACAGAATTAGCATATTGCCCCCAATAATCTGGATCCTCATTTTACCGATCTCGGAAATGTGGAAGGCTGAGTCAACCTTGAGATGGTCAACCTTAAACTGCTGGCAATTAGCAGAATTAGCCTGCAATGCAAAACCATGGTG